TTAGTCATCTCATGGCAACCAAAAACGTGCTTAAATTGGAAGGTAACCAGACTTTCAAATAAACTAGTTTGCCTTCCAATTTAAGCCTGTTTGTTGTTAACAAGCTCAAGTATTATTGAAGCCAAAAGAGTTACTGTAGACATATAGAGATGATCTTTTTGGGAACAATTTGACAAATTGAATCTTTTTTTTTTCAGGATAGATTGACTTGTGTTAGATGAAACTATCAAGCTCAACAAGGTTTACTTGAAAAATGAGAAAACACCCATCAGTTTTAGGAACCTCGAGTAACAATAGAATTGAAAACAAATTCCCTGAATTTCTCACAGATAATTATGCCTCAGAGAGGCTCCGATTAAAGGGGAGACCCTGCCCCACACCTCTAAAATAATGCAAGGAAAGAATACATTGATTTGCATGCACTCATGGAAAACATTTGCAAAGCAAACAGAGGCCGAAGATGCATGCATATGTAAATTTGTAGAGGGGGAGGGTTTTGAAAGTATGTTGGTCTCTTGTTTTCAGTTTTGTTTCTGTGCTTAATCTATGATTTTCCCAAATTTAAAGATTTTGCTGTTCCTAATTGTTTTAGTTGAGTAAAGTTCAAGCTGTTCCTGCCCATGTAAATAACTGTCCAATTGCAAAGGTTTTCCACAGATAACCTTTGCAATTACACAGATATCACAGTCCAAAAAGTAGAAACAGAAATCATGTTAGATCTATAGCATCTAAAATAATGAGAAACAAATCTTTAGTAGTGTTTTGATATAATAACCTGCAACAGAAAAATTAGGTTTGATTATCAGAAGTTACTGTTCAGTTGTTGAAAGAATTTAACTTGACTTTGTCTTGCTTAATTACTGTTTTAGAGTTAAATATTCTAGGAGAAGTATACTTTTTCAGGTTGCTATTACAATAAAATATCAACTAAAGGTTTGGAAAAGCACTTAAAGTGTTGCTGAGTTTCTTTTGCATAAATACAGCTCAGAGTGTATCATTTAAAAGGATTGATGCAGTTTCTAAAGTCTCTTGAGTCTGTACAGCACAAGGCGTATCAGGAACCAAAGAAAAGGTAGATAAAGATCTGTTCACTAGGGACTAACAAAGTTTTTTTTAAATGCAATGTTGTCAAGCCTGCTCTTGGTTGAAGAAGAAGCACCACACCCAACTAACTGGAAGTCCCCCATTCTTGTGCAAGATGCCAGTACTGGAAAAACAAAAAAACAAAAAAGAAACTTACCAACATCCTTTGTCAAACATTACACAAGAACTGTCTGAAGTGAAATATTACAAGTGATTTAAAAAAAATATAAAGTGTCTTTATTGTTCAAAATGTAGCAGCAACAGCTCTCAGAATGATTTAATAAGAACAAAAATCTAAAATCCCTGCAACCATTTTGTCCACTGGTTTTAAGTAGGATCTTGATGGAAGTCAAGTGAAACCATTTTCAACTACAAACTATGTTTTTTAGTCTGTGATTAAGACTTTAATGTGTCTTTGGTTATTTAGGATCTTCGTTGCTTTGATGACCATATTTCAGTCTAGAGGCACCAAGAAGGGACTGCTCTACCTATCTAAAGAAAGGCTTGAGTTTGCATGATGCTGAGAAGTTCCTCACTTATTTTCTTGCGGCATTTGTTGAATGTCCATATGATCATTTCTTATCAGCCGTCTGCATTTCCCCTTTGTAACCACTGTCATTAACATATTTGTCCTTATTAACGTTCCATGGAAGATTCATACTTTTGTATTTCCCTTTTCTTAAATGAGCATACAGTAAGTACCAGCTCAGTCTGTGCTTCTGCATTCCAGATGTCTGAGTGTCGCTAAGATAGATTATAATGTTATACATTGCTAAATGCATACGTACTATGCCTTTTGAAATCTAAAGTTTACGTAAATATCAGCACCAAAAATGAACCCATGAATCTGAATGTGTTCATGGACAGCAGGGGTGAGGTAGACTGCAGATACAGAAGCCAGATGAGTATCTGCATGCATATGTAAATGTTGGTCATACTGTTACAGCCCTTTAATTTGCAAAAAAAGACTTGAAAAGCTAAATACAAGATTAGTTTCTCTTTTACCACACCAGTTGTGAGTTGCTATTCTTACATAGGTACATATAACCAGAAACACTCTGGGTGGTAAAAATCTCTCTTCAATGATATGACAGATTTCTCAGATACATTAGAAAGCGATTATTTAAATTACTGAACACTGGTTAATGTGACTAACCAGAATATTTTGACACATCCTGCATGTTATTTTTGCTTTTTCAGAAGAATGTTATCACATCTCTGGACATGTAAAATTGCTTTCACTTGATTTATTTTAGGCCATATGTTTTGTTTTTATTTCCATGCCTCCTCTTTTTAAATTTATACATTTCCATTTATACTAAAACACTGCAGGGGGATTTGAAAATAACACCTATCACAGAAAAATGACTAACTAACTGTCTCACTAATTTGAAGTGCATCCCATACAGTGGTGCACACACATGGCCCCAGCTCAATTTGGTATATTAACATGGTGAATGCAGCTTGCTTGATTTCAGTTCGGCGATTTTGAAAGCAGCATATCTATAGGTGCCCAAAGAGTTGGTCCAGGTTTTTCAGAAACTTTGACCCACTGGGATTTTAGTGAACAGCTTTCTCTCTGGTCAACAAGGAATGGTCCCTAACACTGTAGTGAAAAGCAGCTATGGGAACTGATCTGGATGGTCATATAGAGACTACAGTATATAGAGTGGATTCATATTTACTGACACATTGTGATATTGGAGTCAGTAATTTACAAAAACAAAAGGAGAGGATCACTCTCCACTGCACTATATCAACAATTAACCCTGGTGAAGGAGAAATAATAGCATGGAAATATTTCATTGCCAGACTTTAAGTCTCTCAGAGCAGGGGTCTTCAACGTTTTCCAGGCCAAGAACCCCTAAACTGATGGCGAGATGGAGCTGTGACCCCTTAATTATATATATTGTATGAAATTGTGTTTTATCAAACTGGTCCTATAATCAGTCTTACAGATGGAGTCATGTAATAAAAATTTATTTCGGCCTGGGATTATTAAAGTATTTCGGATTCTGATTCCTGGTTGATGTGACAGGTTCCTGTGTGTCACTTAATGCGTGCATTGATGACTGAAAGAAATCTTCGGGCTCTATTTATCTGTTTACTTTAGTGTGTTAATTTGTGGTTAAAGACATTTCAGTTTGTGGAAATTATTGCAGGGGGGAATGTAAAAAAAAGTAATCAACCAGAACTTTTGCAACGCAAAATACTTTTTCATTTTTTAAACACCAATCAATTATCATCTCTGACCATGTTCAACCTAATATGACCAGTTTAAACATCCACCAGGGGCTCCAGCAAAAAGCACATATAATCGTAGACTGTTTTTAAAAAAAGGAGAAGTACAAAACTTTAGGTTTCAAAGGGTCTCTTCATTGTATTACCACGGAAATGGATGCATGATTACTTGCTAAAATACACAAGTATTTGGCTGTTGTTTTAAACATAGAGTGTTTCAATATGCAACTAGAAGATCAAACCTTGGGCACAGTAAATGGTGGCATAGAGTCCATCAGCTATAAACAGAGGCCCCATTCCATGACACAGCAATTCTGAATGTTTAGTTTAAGTGTCATTCTGCACGTCTTCCCCCTCTTTCCATGGCCTTTCCTGTCAGCTAACTTTGCCTTAAGGAGCATTTGAAATAAAGAAAGCTAAAACCTTACCAGCTCTATATAAAAGATTGTTTTTGTGCATTAGGATAGCTCAAGAAGAAAGTTTGAAACTTAAAATGACAGAAGGATTAGGCCATACTGTTAATATGGATAATATATCAGTTTATCTTGATAAATTCATGCAGCTCTATATGTGATAAATGACTGTAGAAAATATGAATCGGTGCATTGTGTTGTAGTCGTCTTTTACGTCATGGCAGGAATGAAGGTGTGTAAAAAATGTAGTGCAAAGCTGTTCCTGTTTGAGGTAAATTTAGATTTCTTTGTCTGTCTTTACTTTTGTTTTGAGCTGTCCATTTACACAAAACAGAAAATATCAGATCTGTGCATCAATCATAGACTAAATAGGAAAAAAAAATATCTCAAATTATAAACCTGGGCAACAAAAATTAGCAGATGAAGGTCTTCATCGGTTATTAAAACATGTTTGTCAGAGGGACCATTCTAGAGGGAAAAACAAGAACAAGCTATGTTTTTTTATTACAAAATCTAATTACAATGGCTATGCATTCATTGATGTATTTGAAATAATTGAATGAAAATATGAATGATTTGTGGAACTCCAGGTTTTTAATGATGGTGTATTTAACAAATTTGAAAACTTTTAAGAGGCTATATAAAAAATATATATATAGATAGAGATAAAATAAAACCGTTTTAGCTAAAAATAATATCTAAAGGACCAAAATCCAAATGTTTAACTGTTATAATGTAATTTATTATTATTTATAGGTAGAAATGAGGTACCCATATGAGGGTAACTGTCTACGTTGTTTTACATTTCTGTGAGTAAGGCAAGAGACCGATACTAGCTTTGCATTTGATTACAACATCTTAAGTCTGGTGATATAAAAACTTTTTACAGAATTAGTAAAATGCAAACAATTAGAAAACCTTAACAGCTTAATGTCTACAGCCTCCTCACAGCTGTACAGTTATGGTTAGAAAAATGACACACTACTTATACAAGGTAACTATATATATATATATATATATATATATATATATATATATTATATAAGATTGCTCATCTAATTTAAATACTACCCGTTTGTGTCACTCAGATATTATAGATGTTTATTGGATTACTCATCTCACTGCTTTGGCCTTTTTCGTTGCACCCCATTCCTTCTACCTCCCGCCTCTTTTTGGATGGTTGCTGGAGATGAAACAAGTTCAGCTTGTATGTTTAGACAAAGAAAGAATTTGGTGCCTCCTTTAAAAAGCCTTGGCCACTGATAACTTCTTATTTTCATCACCTCACCTGAGGAAGAAAGGTGTTCATCACCTACTCATTCCAAGCTGTATTGACCGTAAGGAGCCTACTGGATAGTTGGTCTGAACTAAGGTAGGAAAATAATATATATGAAATTGTGTGTCTTAAATTTGAAATGTAAAACATCAAAGGTAAAAGGTTACTACTGATATGACTGAAGAATGAAATAACTTTTCATATTCTTGAAATGTTTATTATCTAGAATTAAGCCTAAACTTGGTTGGGTACTTTACAATTTCATTTTAAAACATTTTAATTTCTTCAATACACACTTTTTTGTGCTATGTTAAATTAATTTGATTTGGGTTTTTTTACTAGTACTTCAAATTAGATAATTTCATAAATTATATATAAAAAAGAAAAACTAAGGAAGAGGAATGCTATGTACAGTTGTGCTTGAAAGTTACATACCCTTCCATTTCCATAAATGGAAATTGACAATAGAAATAATAAATAAAAATAATACAAATATTATGCCATTGATTTTGAATATTTATATATACATACATATGTATATATTAATACAAAAAACGAGTAAACAAACCTGATAGAGCACCTGAAATAAAATTTTGTTGAGCAACACAATAATCTGCATATTTCAAAAACCATAAACCAATCAAAGATGATGATGGTTTTGAGTTGAGAGGGTATTAAAGGGCTACATTTGAGCCATTTTTTTTTTTTTTTTTTATAACATGGAAGTGCATTCCAAAAAACAGCAGTGACTTCTTTTGTTTGCTTTTATCTGCATGTTTTGTTAGAAAGTAAAACTAAATGATAGTATCTACATATAAACCAATGCAAAAAAACCCAAAACATTTAATTTCTTTATTTCAGAAATGTAAAGAGTCTTTATGCATTTATCAACTATTTAATTATTAAAATGTACATGAAAAAAAAATCTGAGTTAGAGTCCAGACCAAAGGCTGATGATTTACTTTTTTAACATATACATCTAATGTGTACTTTAAGTAAATCATTTATTTATACTCCATGCTATTGGTAAAAATAAAATCTTTTTTAAATAATATAAAATTAAATATTTTTTTAAATCATGTAAGTATTTTATATGTGAAAAAAGGATCCTGTCACTTATTTGCAGTTATAAAGCAATGTTGTTTAAAGAACAGTGCTTATCTGTACAGACTAATAATGGTTTGCTCAGTTTCTAAGATTGATAAGGATTCTATTTGTTCAAGATGTTTGTCCTGTGGAAAAAGTGGCTAGAGCAGTAGAAGGAATCTTAAACTGCACCTGCAGATCTGATACTGCTTTGCCATGTAGATAAAAAGTTTCACAAACTCTGGAATGTTGAAGAACCCGGTTTGTCCACCTTGCTCTAGCAAGGTAAATCTATCTGCTGTAAGATAATAAACTAGTTCCTTCTAGAGTTTCAATAAGGACCTATAATTAGTGTATCCAGATAAACTGAACAAAGAGGACTTTTGTTTTTCTTGTAAAAACATTTTTTCATAACGGTAAATACACTAAATACAAACTTCTTTAGGATGCTGAATTTTGGTTTAAAAAGTATACACATTTCAGAGTAAACATTTGTAATATCCAATAGTTAATTTAAAAAGGATTACAAAAAGCAAACAAAAATATAAAATTTTTTATTCTGAAATATTTTTCACAGAAAGCAGAGGATGGAGCTTTACATGTTTCTTCTCCTGTTAGCAGGTAACCGAAATATTGCAATTCATATTTGTATATGTATATGTGGGTGTAACAAAGCGAATGAGCAATGCCATAAGACAATTATAAGTTGAAGTTACACTGAAATAACCAAGTATCCCCTTTCTCTACAGGACTAATAGGAACAGGAACTGCACAGGCCTCAACTACCACAACAGGTAATACATTCAGAGGTTCCATTACTAACATCTATTAAATTCAGTATTACTTAACTTCCAAAGTTAAAATGTATTGGAAAATGGCAGCAGTTTCACAAGAATGGGTTCATGTGTGTGGTAAAATATAAAACGTTAAAGTTACAGTCACTTGCTTAGAAAAGGAAAAAATTGTGTGGTTCTTTAAACAAACTGAAGTGTAAATGAATACAATTTCTAATTTAAGACGTTAATTAAATGTATAGGTCTAATTGAGCAGCATGCTGTTTAAAAAGATCCCCATGGTGTTAGTCATCAAAGCATGTGACTGAAAATCCACCGAGTGACAGAGTAACAGTGCAGTACATAACAACTACCACTAGAGGGAAGACCTGATATAGGAAAACTAAAAGTGTAGCTCTAGATCAGGGGTCTGCAACCTGCGGCTCCAGAGCCACATATGGCTCTTTGGACCCTCTTCAGTGGCTCTTAATAGTGGCTAAAATGTATATAAAGAGCTAAATAATTTACTTTAATATATACCGGTATCAATAGCTTTAGTGTTTTTTATAAGTGGGAAAAGAATGAGATTAAAAGAACCAGAAATATGTTTTAAGAGACATTTTTCTATGAATTAGCTTGAAAATTATATGTTTTAACATTAAAAATACATGATTTGTTGATTGTTTGAGATGGCAACAACTAATTTCCTATACAAGATTAAAAAAATAAGGTTTTCTAGAAAAAGTCATGTTACATTTTGCGGCTCTAAACAACTTTTACTTGGTCGGACTCTGGGCAAAACGGCTCTTTGGATATGAAAGGTTGCAGACCCCTGCTCTAGATAGTCATAGGAATGGGAGATGAATCAACTCAACTTTAAGATCGAGGAGAAGAAAACAAATTTTTTTTTTACCAATATGTGTGTCTTTTGATAACAGTTGATTCTGTGAATAAAGTCATTTTAAATTAACATAAATAATATTTTAAAGTAGTGAAAATGCATCAAATACACATAACAAACACTATATGAAAACAAAGCCTTTTTATTAAATGTTAGCCAAAATTATTAGATGTTTATATCATCCTTTTTAAAATGGAGGTGACTAACAAATAAAACTAAGTCTGCCTCAAACAAAGCTAATTGTTGCTATAAGTTAAAATAGCAAAGATTTATTTCATCACAACAATATATTTTACAAGGTGGATAGACCTGAGCAAAAAACTCAACATTAAATTATACTCATATCACAAAGGAAACATTAGTAAATTAGTAATATAATTCTATTTTCCTTACTCACTGTTGGAACAGGATCAACATCTGGTGGAACCACAGCAATGCAGACTTCCACCCAGCCAGAAACTACTGGTAAGATTTTACTGCTGCTATA